GAGAGAGAACAAACTCTCGATATACAGACATATCTCGTTGAATATAAAATTTTTATGATATATTTAAAATCATAATTTCTTTATGGAACAGAGTGTTGGTCAATCAAGAACTCCCATGTACAGAAGATGAAGGTGGCCGAAATGAGGATATTGAGATGGATGTGGGGACATACCAGGTTAGATAGAATTAGAAATAAAGTTATTCGGGGCAAAATAGGTTGGCCCCTGTGGAGGATAAGATGCGGGAGGCGAGACTTAGATGGTACGGGCATGTTAAGAGGAGAGCCGTTGATACTCTTATGAGGAGGTATGAGAGGCTGGCGTTGGAGGGCCAACGAAGAGGTAGAGGCAGGCCAAACAAATATTGGGGAGAGGTGATTAGGCGAGATATAACCATAGATAGGAATGTATGGAGGTTGAGAATAAAGGTAAAGGGTTAGGTAGTTGAGTGTTCTCCTGGTTTGTAATAGTAGCTTTGATACATCACTTAGTGTCCTTCTTGTATTTTTTTTTATTGCTATATTGTTGTTATTACTTGTTGCTATCTTGTTTCAGTTTCTAATTGCATTACTTAGTGTTAGTTTGTATTTTTGCTTCAGTTGTCAGATTGGTTTGCTTGTTATTTTCCCTTCCATTTTTCCTTCCTGAGTCAAGGGTCTATCGGAAATAACATCTCTACCTTTCTAAAGACAGGGGTAAGGTCTGCATACACTCTACCCTTCCTAGACCCCACTTATGGGACTACACTAGTGTTTACCCGTAAAAAGGTACAGTTAAATTTATACGTGGTTTATAGACAAGTAAATTAACTTGATCCCAAGATGATGAATAAATTATATATAAATGTAATACTTAGCCTTGATATGGAGATAAAACAGCAGAAATCGTAATTCCGGGAGTAGGGCTTCCGGGGACAATAATAATTATATAAATTAGCAAGAAGATAAAATTATATTGAGCTTTGAACAAAGTGTAGCATATGTTTGTTAGATTATTCCTCACTTACAATGATGGTGGAGCTCACTATTTATAATTGTACCTAGGGAACAAGGTTCTAGGATCATGCCCCTCTTAAATGACTATTACAAGGGCCATTAAAGAATGTGTAACGGTAGGCGATAAATATCTTATTCTCTGTAACAGACCATGTACTTAATGTTATAGAATATTCTTCATTAAATACTACCAGATGGTAGGCATTTACTTTGCCTTTATGAATATCGTTCTCTCCGACAACAAGCGAGATCACTGCCCTCAGGCTCGACTGTCCTCTATCTCCGGCTCCACGTGTCACTTTCTCATGCGAACATTAAATATGAACATATTTTACCCCCATACAGATAGTTCCCCTGCTTTCCGGTGGCATAACTTTGTGTCACCAGAAAGTTGGTAGAGATATTTTTTTAGCGGGAAATTCTCTGACCCCCTTTAAAAAGTTTCTGACGGTTTATTAGGCGCGCGTCTCTCTGCATTTAATTCCCCAAAACACGCATCATCCCACGATTTAACATCACTTTTGCCGGTTAACGAGGTAATTATGGCCACGATTTTAGCCATTTATTCCTTTACTTACACACATCGAACTTCTTCATTTATACTTCATAATTCTCCAAATTTTCTCAAACTCTCTTTACTCAACTCGTACTTTGTCTTCAACCTTTCTTTAGCCTTCTTCTTTAGAGAAACCCTTCCTTTCCTTTTTGATAAAAATGGCTTCTTCTTCCAGAAACCCTAGTTCTTCAAAAAATAATGGTAAAGCTGATGATGCTACTCATCCTACGGTGAGTACCATCATCCCAAGAAGTCTTGTCATAACTAAAGACTTTGAAGAGAAATATCCTTCCGCTAAACCTCGTATGTGGACCATTGGGGTGTACCCTTCTACCAATATCCCTAATGTGAAGGAAGATTGCCATTGCCAAGATTTAGACATTATCACTCCTGATTTGACGGAGCGGATAACCTTACCCAAGAAGGTTTTTACGTATTTTTATACGTATTCTTTGACTTTGGGGCCGTTCTCTTTAAGTGGGGAGCTTGATTCCATCATCGTGGAGTTCTGTATCCGCTACTAGGTATGACTGGCACAAGTAAGTCCTTCTGTGTAGAGGACAGTCGCTTGTCATCAACGTCTTTGCCAGAAGACGGGAGATGAAATTTTGTATAATAACCTTGTTGGTTGATTCTGCTTGGACATTTTCACTCAGATGATAGGGTGATGATGTAATCCTTTTGATTTTTAAGTCTTCAAGGAACTTTGTGACCTTTGAGCCTATAAACTGTGGCATGTTGTCAAAGGCAATCTCTTTTGGTATCCCAAATCTGCAAATTATATTCTCCTACAAGATATCTACTACTTCTTGTTCGCCAATCTTCTGATAAGGACCTGCTTCAACCCACATAGAAAAATAGTTAATTAAAATCAAAAGAAATCTTACCTTGTCGGTGGCTGGTGGCAGTGGTCCGACGATATCCACCCCCACTTCATGAATGGACATGGTGACAAAACCAAGTATGGTGGCTCTGCCAGTTGATGTACCAACGGTGCGTAGTGTTGACATTATCACATTTTTGAACATAGGCCTTGGCATCTTCTTCCATCCAGGGCCAGTGGTTTCCTGCCCTAATTAATTTTAGCAAGAAGGAATCCGCGGTCGAATGATTTCCGCAGATCCCTTCGTGGACTTCTCGCATAACATAATTAGCTTCAGAAGCTCCCAAACATCGGGCCAGCACGCCTTGGAAAGATCTTCTGTACAATTGACCTCCTTTAAAACTATATCGCGCTGCCTTAGTGCGTAGCACCCGAGATGCCTTGGGATCTTTAGGGAACTTTCCGTGCTCGAGATAGTCAATGATCTCATTTCTCCAGTCCCAGACCAAGTTGGTCGCGTTGACCTCATAATATCTATTTGCATCCAGTACCGAATGCATAAGTTGTACGACCATACCAGATTTCGATCCTTTCATATTTGTAGACGAGCCTAGATTGGCTAGTGCATCCGCTTCCCCATTCTCTTCCCTCGGGATGTGTGTAATTGACCATTCCTTTAATCGAGCGAGTAAAGCGTGGACTTTCACTACATACTGTTGCATACGTTCCTTTTTGGCTTCAAAGATCCCATAGACCTGATTTACTACCAATTTGGAGTCACATTTGATTTCTATGACCTCGGAGTCAAGCCCCCGGGCTAGTTCGAGTCCTTCAATCAATGCTTCAAACTCTGCTTCATTTTTAGTCAGGGGAACGGTTCCTATGGCCTACCTTAGGATTTCTCCCAAGGGCGTGGTCAGTACTATGCCAAGCCCAGACCCCTTCACGTTGGAAGCTCCGTCCGTGAATAAGATCCAAACTCCTGATGTTGATTCTGACACCATCACTGCTTCTTTGGTGGCTAAAGGTAATAGTCCTGGTCTGAAATCGGCCACGAAGTCGGCCAAGACTTGTGATTTAATCGCAGTCCTAGGCTTATATTCTATGTCAAATTCACTTATTTTGATAGCCCACTTGGCCATCCTACCCGAAAGTTTGGGTTTATGAAGAATGTTCATAGGGGAAAATTGGTCACCATGGCTATCAGATGACATTGGAAATAAGGCCTAAGATTTCATGTGGAGACTACAAGAGCTAAGGCTAATTTTTCCAGATGTGGGTAGCGAGTTTCTACTCCCGTTAAAATTTCACTAACGTAATAAATAGGAGATTGTGTACCTTCGTTCTCATGGACTAAAATGGCATTTTGCTCTACCTTCGAGACTGCTAAGTAAATCAACAGTTGTTCGCCTTCCTCCGATTTTGATAGTAACAGAGGACTTGACAAATACCTTTTCAAATCCCTCAAAGCCTGCTAACACTCCGGGGTCCATTCGAAGTTCTTCTTCTTTTTGAGTAGTGAGAAGAAATGATGGCATTTCTCTAAAGACCAGGAAATGAATATGCTCAAAGCGGTCAGTCTCTTTGTTAACCTTTGAACCTCATTCACGCTTGACAGTTGATCTGGGATGTCTTCAATGGATTTAATTTTATTGGGGTTAACTTCGATCCCCCTTTGTGACACCGGGAATCCCAGAAACTTACCGGAGTTGACCCCAAACGCACATTTCTCACGGTTAAGCTTCATGTTATGCTTCCTTAAGATGTCAAAAGTTTCTTGCAAGTGTTTAAGATGATCACATACGTTCAAAGACTTAACCAGTATATTATCTATGTAAACTTCCATGGTTTTCCCTATTTGTTTCTCGAACATTTTGTTCATGAGCGCTGATACGTGGCTCCGACGTTCTTTAGCCCGACGGGCATCACATCATAACAATATGTGTCGAAGTTTGTTAGGAATAAAGTTTTTTCCTGATCCTCAGGGTTCATCTTGATTTGGTTGTACTCGGAGTAAGCATCGAGGAAACTTATTAACTCATGCCTGGCCATTACATCAATCATTTGATCAATGTTTCGTAATGGGAATGAGTTTTTTGGGCACGCCTTATTTAAATCTTTATAGTCTAAACACATGCGAAACTTGTTCTTCTTCTTTGGAACTACTACTATATTAGCTAACCAGTCTGGATACTTACCTCTCGGATTGAACTGATATCAAGCAATCAAGTTACCTCTTCCTTGACAAATTTTTTCCTGACCTCGGCAATATGATGTTTTTTCTATCTTATCGGAAGGATGCTGGGATCTAGGCTTAATTTGTGTACGGTCACTTCTACAGGATACCTGTCATATCCGCATGCGACCACACAAAACAATAAACATTAAATTTAAGAAATTCAATAAATCTATACCCGAGCTCGGGGTGTAGTCCTGTCTCCAAGTGGAACTTCCTCTCCAAGAACTTTTTGAATAATGCGACTTGTTCAAGTTCTTCCGCCGTGGATTTTGTTGCGTCTGTCTCTTCTGGTACTTGGAAATATCTTGGTACCTAATAGGATTCCGACGACTCTTCCCCCTGGCAGATTTTGCTAGGTTTAGGAGCAGGCGCCGATTCCTGTAATTGCTATGCCGCATGCTCCTTCCTTTTGCTACTGGAAATTAAGATTGCATTTATCTCCCTTGTTGCCAGTTGGTCACCTTTTATTTGTTTAATTCCCTCGGGAGTCGAGCATTTTAGCAACTGGTGATACATTGATGGCATAGCCTTCATCTTGTGCAACCCTGGTCTCCCAAGGATGATATTGTAACCTATATCACCATCCACTACGTCGAAAAGGGTCATCTTCATCACCCCCTCGGCATTCGTGGGCAGCAAGATCTCTTCCCAGGTTGTTATTCTTGCCAAATTGAACCCAACGAGAAGTTTTGTGGACGGAATAATACTTCTGGTGAGCTTGGCTTGCTCCATCACTCTCCAGTGGATAATATAGGCGAAACTTACTTGGTCCACCAGAATTGGTCTACGCCTAGTCAAGCTAGCGATGGGCATATCATCAGAATCCTCTTCACTATCTCCATTATCTTCTCCATAATCAGATCTCATCTTAGGTACAACCACAGACAAAGGCTCGGCATCAAAATGAGAAGAGAGAGTAGGGTCAATACTCACATGGGGCTTTTGAGAGGACCCCTGAGTTGGATCCTCCGAGGAGGGATTAGGTTCTTTATTAGGTACTCCAGTAGTATTTTTCTGTGCCTATTGTTCAATAGTCACAAGCTCTCTGCCTTCTATCAAGGTCTTAGACTTTTCCCCCTGAGGCTTAGACCCATCCTTACCTCTTTCGATAATAACCTATTCACCAGCTATAGATAGCATATTTTCTATTACTTCTCTCTCTTATAACTCCATGGAAAACGCAAGAGAAAGAGGAGTGTTACCTACAGACTCAAGATCGGGGAATGCCTTTGTGGAGTCAGCATTCTCAGAACCAGCAGTTTGGTCTGCATTTGAGCCTTCTTCCATGGGAAGACTGGAGATTTCTTGATTTTCATCTTTGACTGTGCCTTTTTCACCCTCTTTTTTCGGCGAGGTAGGAGTAGAGCTCGTAGCCACAAACTTTTTAGGAGTCGAGATTTTGCGGCTCCGATGAGAACCAAAACTCAATTGGGTAGGAGAGGAAACTAAGTGTGGGGGTGACTCTGCCTTAGGTTTTTGGAAAGTAGTGGTGTNGTGTGGGGGTGACTCTGCCTTAGGTTTTTGGAAAGTGGTGGTGCTGAGTGAGGAGTCTAACATCGATGTTTTAACTGGTGAGGACTCAATAGGGGTGTTACTTGGAACACTCGAGGTTTCGTGATTTTCAGCCATGGTGAAAGTAATGAGTTGAAGAGGAGGGATTGGTAGTTTGAAGAGAGAAAGAAGGAGGAAAATCTTGAAGTTTGATGTGAAGAGTTGTGACAGTGATGGATATATGTAAGATGGATAAGGGACCGGTTAAGAAAGGGCGGCAATTTTGGGATTCGGGTCGATTGCCAATGGGTGAGACGTTTGGGTTCAAAAGACACAAAGAAAAGAAACTGACACACTGATGATGTGGCACTTGTTTTAACCATTAAAAATTGTGCATGAGAGAACAAAGAAACTACTAACTTGTGTCAGGAGAACCAGGTTCTCTAATGAATCTTGCACCTATAAGCTTTGCCCTTTTTACCGGTGTGCGCTGTATCAACTGCTTATTTGCTCTGTAATCATTATGCATGCCTACCTGTAATGATATAGAGGTAAGTTAGACTTTGCCAGAAAACACTTTTTAGCTAATTTTACCTGTACATTTCTTTCATAGCCAATCATCGAGGGGCCAGGTTCTCAGTTGGGTTTTATCAACCCCAGTGGCTAGTGATTTCTTTCAAAATGTTCTCTGCTTAAGGCCTTGGTGAATATATCTGCAATCTGATCTTCTGTGCTGCAGAATTTCATGCCGATGAGCCCTTTTTCAACATTGTCTCTAAGGAAGTGATGGCGCACATCATTGTGCTTGGTTCTCTTATGTTGGACTGGATATTTGGCCATATTGAGTGAACTTGTATTGTCGCACAGGAGGGGTACACAGTCAGTGAACACTCCAAAGTCTTCCAACTGGTGCTTGATCCATAGCAATTGAGCACAGCAAGAAGCAACAACTACATATTTCGCTTCTGCAGTTGAGAGTGCCACCGATCTTTGCTTCCTTGTGCCACATGAGATTATAGAAGAACCCAGGAAATGTACCATTCCAGACATACTTTTCCTATCCACCAGATATCTTGCATAATCAGCATCAGCATACCCAACAAGATCAAAGTTGTCTCCTGAGGGATAGTAGAGAACAAGGTCATGCGTTCCTTTAAGATATCTAAATATTCTCTTGGCAACCTTCAGATGAGATTCCTTTGGATTAGATTGGAACCTTGTACAGAGACACACACTGAACACAATGTCTGGTCTGCTTGTAGTGAGATACAAGAGTGACTATGATCCCTCTATACATGGTCTGATTTACAGGGGAACCAGGTTCATCCATGTCTAGATGAGTAGCCGTGGCAATGGGAGTGTCAATAACTTTTGAAGCTTCCATGTCAAACCTTTTTAGCAGCTCTTTGATGTGTTTCTACTAACTTATCAATGTTCCCTTTTGAGACTGCTTCGCTTGAAGTCCCAGGAAAAAACTTAATTCTCCCATCATACTCGTGTCAAACTCACACCCCATGAGTTTTGCAAATTCTTCACAAAGAGAGTCAATTGTGGCTCCTAAAATGATATCATCAACATATACTTGCACAATGAGTAGGCTCCTCCCTCATTTCTTCAGAAAAAGAATGTTGTCAATTTTCCCTCTTGTAAAGCCATTTTCTAGAAGAAATTTTGACAACCTTTCATACCAAGCCCGAGGATCCCGCTTTAGCCCATACAATGCCTTGTCCAGTTTGAACACATGCTCAGGATGCTCGTGATTCTCAAATTCAGGTGGTTGCTTGACATAAATTTCTTCTTTTAGGAAACTATTTAGAAATGCACTTTTGACATCCATTTGGAATAATGTGAACTCCATATGTGATGCAAAGGAAAAAAGGATTCTGATAACTTCCATTCGAGCAACTGAGCAAAAGTTTCATCATAGTCAATCCCTTTTTCCTGATTGTAGCCTTGAACTACAAGCCTTGCCTTATTTATTGTTGTGTTTCCAAACTCATCAATTTTGTTCCTGAATACCCATCTGGTTCTTATAACAGTTCGATCTGCAGGTTGTGGAACCAGGTGCCATACTTTGTTTCTTTCAAATTGATGCAGCTTTTCTTGCATGGCATTCATTTAGTATGCATCTTTTAATTCTTCTTTGAAAATTGTAGGCTCTATTTGATAAAGGAAGGCTGAGAGGCGAGTGAGTTTCTAGCTTTTGAGCTGGTTTGAATTCCTGAGTCAAGAGGAGTGATTATATTGTCAAGGTGGTGTGAACTTTTGTGCTTCCGATTTGGTACTTGAATCTCATTGGTAGAAGATCCAGGTATGCCTGACTGAGGTTCTTGGCCACTTCTTGTTTCAGCAAGAGGAGTACCTTGGACTGCGTCAACAACTTTGTTTTCAGCTTTAGTTATTGTGATCGTGGGACCAGGTTCCTCTCCGATGGATGGAGGTGTATTTGCATAATCCTCACTGGATTCCTTGACATGACTCATCATGTCTGCCTTTCCATTTGCCATGTCAATAACTTCTCCTGGAACAAATTTTAAAATTTTTCCATCTTGTTCAAAAATCTGTCCTTCTCACATGAGAGGTGAGATTCATCAAAAATCACATGTATACTTTCCTCAATACATTGAGTCCTTTTGTTGTACACTTTGTACGATTTGCTTTGAGATGAGTATCCCAAAAAGATTCATTCATCACTTTTGGCACTGAATTTTCCAAGAGCTTCCTTTCCATTGTTGAGGACAAAACACTTACATCCAAAAGTCCTTAGATATGTCAGCTTGGGCTTCCTTCCATTCAACAGTTCATATGGATTTTTGTTCAGAAGGGACCTAATCATGCACATGTTCACCAAGTAGCAAGCAGTATTGACAACATTTGCCCAGAAATTCTTTGCAATCCCACTGTCAATCAACCTTGTCTTTGCCATATCTTTAAGAGTTCTATTCTTACTCTCCACAACACCATTTTGTTGAGGTGTTCTTGGAGCTGAAAAATTGTGAGTGATACCATTTTTAGTGCATAACTCATCAAATTTGGCATTGTCGAACTCTGTCCCATGATCAGACCTGATGAAAGCTACCTTATTACCCATGTTCACCTGGATCGTTTTGACGAAAGCAACAAACACTTCAAAAGTTTCATCCTTGGTTCTTAGAAACAAAGTCGAGGTGAATCTGGAGTAGTCGTCAACTATAACAAAGATGTATTTCTTTCCTCCCCTGCTTGGAACCCTCATAGGTCCACATAGATCCATGTGAAGAAGATCAAGTGGCCTTGAGGTACTGACTTCTTTTTTGGGATTGACTGAGGATCTGACCTGCTTTCGTTTTACACATGCATCACACACTTTGTGATCCTTGAAGCTTGACTTGGGCAGACCACGAACCAGGTCCTTCCTGACCAATTTGTTCAGCAACGTGAAGCTTACATGACCTAGATCACCATTATGTAGAGACTCAAAATCAGCAACATAGATATTTTTGTATCTTTTTGCCACTAGCACTACCTCACCAGTCACGAAGTTTGTGACTGTACATATTTATGACAAAAAAAGTCCACCTTGTTTCCCTTGTCACAGATCTGGGAAACACTTAGCAAGTTGTACTTCAACCCATTCACGTAGTACACATTTTCAATTGAGTGAGAGAGAGATTTCCCAATCCTTACAACTCCTAGAATGTATCATTTCTTGCCATTTCCAAAGGATATACTCCCTCATTGCAGGGCCTTAAGTGAATGGAAATCATTCATACTTCTAGTCATATGCTTTGAGCAACCGCTATCCATGTACCATTGTAGGCTGCTCCCTTTCACTGTTCCCTGCATAAGAAAATCAGGAGTTAGACTTAGGAATCCAAATGAGTTTGGGTCCTTGTAATGAGGAAATGGGTGAATGAGGGATCTTCTGGTCCAAGCAGGCATTATACGTTTATTATATGAAGGACCAGGTTCTCTACCAGTAGTAACTTTTTTAGCAAAAACTTTATTTTTCTGTTGTGACTGAAATCTGGACTTACAGTTTTCTTTGAAGTGCACAGTATTGTCACAGTAAGTGCAAAGCCAATTGTCAAGAACAATAACGTACTTGCTATGAGGGTTGTATGGAGTTTTTTTCCTTTGGAACCCAATTCCTTGCATGTTTCCCCCATTGTTAGTGTACATGGCACTGATATATTTAGAGGACCAGGTCCACTTAATTGATTTTTCAAGATCACTTTTCGCTCTTTCTAGTTCTTCCTGAAGTTGTTTGTTTTTCTCAAGCTTGGCACACAAACTAGACTTTACTGATTTTAACTCACTTTCAAGCTTAAGGTGTGCCTCACTTGAAACTTTCTTTCCCTTTTGAGAATTTTCAGGCTTGCTCTCCATTTTAAGTTCCTCATTGTTTTCTTTAGGTCCACTACCACCACTAATAGGTAATCTCTCTCATGCTCAATGTTAGCAACTCTCTTAGTTAAGACTTCTTTTTTTTGCTTTCTAACACACTCAATGGTCTCTTTTAGATCTACCATAATAACCATCAGATCATCTCTCTCATGTTCCATATTTACAATTTTTTCATCTAAGGCATCCTTCTCTTTCTTCAGGTTCTCAATTGTTTCCTTTAAATCAACCACAACGACTACTAGGTCATCTCTAGACTTCTCTGCTTCTCCTAATTCCACATTTAAAGCATCTTTATCATTTATAAGACATGAGTTTTTTAGGAGAATAAGATTTCAGGTTTCTCTGAACATCTAGAAAATTTACCTCATCACCGTCGTCATCTTCATCATCATCAGACTGAGCCATCAAGGCAAAGATTGGGTCATACTCAGTTGCTTCACTTTCTACTAGCACCATTGAACTATCGCCGTGATCATTTTCTTCTTCAGATTTGCTGGAGGAGTCTCCCCATGCAGTAAGAGCTTGCTTCACGACATTGTCAACGACATTCTTTCTCTTGAAGCGTTTATTAGGAATCGGGTTCCTCTTGGTTGCTTTGACTAAGTTGTTCTTAAATTGATCTTGCTTTAGGAGAGGACAATCCTTGATGAAGTGTCCTGGATTGCCACATTTATGATAGAGGTCATAATTTTTTGGCTTGCTAGAACTGCCCCTTTTTGGAATGCCTCCATTCCTGCGAACCATTTTCTGTA